CAGCCCGAGCTGACAGAATCTCAGTCACTTAAATTAAGATCCTAGGCCTGTTCTGAGTATTGATACCCAGTAAAGACAAGGGAAAGATTCCATAAAGAATCTTATCTTTGATACAAGAGGGCCACCTCACTCTCCCTCTTATGTTTTTACAATGGATTCTAGGCATAGACTTCACTTATGTACCAAAAAAAAAATTGATAAACTCTATGCTATGGGAAGTGTAGACTTTTAATAATAACCATCCTTCTAGAAAATCATGGGTAATTGATATTAAGACTGATCTATGCAGATGCCATTTTCGTCTACTGATGGGACTCACCAAAAAGATACAAGTTAAGAAAGTGGTAAAGAAAAGGAGGAAAAATAATTAGATCATGACGCTCATTGAGCCCACATTAAGTCCCAAACCTGAGCATCACAGAGCAATGAGGCTGTGAAGAACACAGAGATTGCCTGGCCCAGTTCAATTGGCAACAAAGAAAGTGGAGTCCCAGGAGGTTGTGGCTTCACTAACCTAGTTAGCAGCAGAGGATAAATAAGAACCAATATCCATTGAGCCTTTGCCCTGTGCTTTTTCTACTAAAATTCACTTCCACCAGATTTTGTTTAAAAAATATTTTTAAAAGATACAGGAAGTGTTTAAGAGACAAAAAGACAAGACCAGAAAGGAAATTCCCCATTACACTATAATTAAAACATTAAGTATCAGAACAAAAATGTATGTTGAAAGTGATGGACCAGCCTGATTTCATCTTAAGGATGGAAGCCATTTCGTTATAAGGTCAGAATAAGTTCATTTCTGTTTTCTATAAACCTCAAGCTTAGCTGGGCTTTAACCTGTTTCTGGATTTTGACATGCTGCCCACCCTATGGAGTTTGACTCATAGATTGAACATACCTTGATATAAGATGTCCTGCCAAATAATTTTGAAATGTTTATCCAAGTTCCAACATAACCAAAATTCCTCTGGAAATCTCCTAACCCCTGAAAACTCTCTAGTCTCACCCCACTTTTTCCTATGTACCATGCTATTTTCTCAAATTTCACTTTTGGGAGATAACCCTGACAGAAAACAAAGCTTGCTTAATCTGACCAATGAATTTGGTCTTTATACTGTTCAGTGGGATTAAAAGATATATGCCCTTGTAAACCTGGATGAGTGTATTTCAAGTTCTGAAAGACAACAACTGATAACACAAACTAGTATACCCAGCAAAGTTATCTGTCATAATTAAAGGAAACATAACACCTGGCGGTGGTAAAGGACTGAAGGAATTTATAAACTCTAAGACAGCTCTACAGAATCCCTATAATTAAATAAAATAAAACATAACGTATCAAAATCTGCAGGATATGATGAAAGCAGTCTTAAGAAGGGGATTAGTTTTGAGTACCTGTGTTGAGAAACCTAAAATAAATAACTTAATGATACATCTTAGGACCATGGACAAAGAACAACCCAAATACCGAATCAAGAAAGAAATCAAGATGGCCTTAACAAATCAGGGTGAAATTAACTAAATAAAAACAACAAAATATCAGGAATCAATATAAACAAGAGTTTATCCTTTGAAAAGATAAACAAGACTGGCAAACATTTAGCTAAACTGCTCAAAAGAAAAAGAGAGAATATTCAAATAAGTTATAGATGAAAAAGGAGATAGTGCAACAGATAGCAGTGAAATTTAGAAAATCATTAGACATTACATAGTATATTGGGAAATCTAAAAGAAATAGATAAATTTCTATATATGGTATATGATCTACCAAAATTAAATCAAGATGTGATAAATAATTTAAGCCAATCTATAACAAGCAATGCATTTGTGGTAGTAATTTACAATCAGGTTCTTTTTACAAAGCAATTATTATCTGACTGCTTAAAGATGGAGATAAAACTTTTAAAAAAAATTAAGACAGAAAAAGAAAGAAAATCACAGTTTCATTTCCCTGAAGAACACAAATGCAAAAAAAGTAATTCTTCATGATCAAGTTGGCTTTATTTCAGAGAAGCAGTGATGATTCAACATTTGTAAACAGCAAATGTTATAAATCGAATTAACAGATTCAAGTACAGAAATGCTATGGTCATTTTGATAGGTGCAGAAAAGCTTTTGACAAAACCCAGTATATCTTTCTGTTAAAAGTCCAGAAGAACTCAACATGATAAAGGCTATATATAACAATCCTATGGCCAACTTTATATTAAATGAAGGAAAGTTCAAAGTATTTCTACTGAGGGAAGGAACATGACAAGTGGGTTCAATTTCTCCAGCCTCATTCAATATAGCACTGGGAGTTTTATCTAGAGCAATAAGATAAAAGAAGCAAATAAAGAGATACAAAAGGGAAAAAGAAGTCAAAATATCTTTATTTTCAGATAATATGGTACCTAAGAGACCCTAAAGACTCAACCAGAAAACTTTTAGAACTGATAAATGCCTTCAGCAAATTGGCAGAATACGACTTTAAAAGTTATCAGTAGCCTTCATATATACCTGTAGAGGCTAACTCGATTTGGGAAATAACCAGGCTAGCTAAAAGATAAACAATTATGTTTATTTATTATGAGGGGGAAACTCATGAAACCAGAATAAAAAGTCCAAGCTCAGCTGTGTGACAAAGGAACGAGAGAGAGAGAGACAGAGAGAGAGAAAGAGAGAGAGAGAGAGAGAGAGAGAGAGAGAGAGAGAGAGAGAGCTCCTGGGCCGTGCTCCAGTTTGTCTCTGGGTCCCAGAAAGCCACACCCTAACTTGGTCCCACCTCTTAAAGATAATTAGTTAACAAGGCTTCCCCATCACCTCCCCCTTTTGTCTAAACAAGAGCAATCCAAACCCAACACCAGACAATATACAATAGGAACAGATATTAAGTATAAAATTACAAACAACATAAATAATATTAAGCAAGGAACACATGACAAATGTTTTAATAAACATTCTATTCCAAAGAGTCTAAGTCTTGCATCAGAAATAAGCTTGGCAAGAGGAAGGTAATGATGACTATTTAATGTTCAACCCCAGTGAAGGCCTGAGAAGGGAGATAATATAACTTGAGTAGGCAGGAAGTACAATCAAGCATCTTCCAAAGCAAGCAGTATATGATTGACTACCTGAGGAATTGAATCACACAAAGTCTCATTTCCAACCAACTTTGGCTAAGGCCTAGCATAACTGACAGACCATTTTCAGAGGCAGGAAAATTTTCAGAACCATCTTACCCTGTCTTGACAAGGTTTGTCAGTCCTTTTCCTTGTGTCCTGCTTACCTAGTCCGGATACTATGTACTTTGTCAGTGGTTGAGGCAGTTCCTTGCCCAAAGGCCAATTGTGCCAAGAAGAAAACAAACTCTGAGTGGAGTGTCTTCAGTACTCAACATTCTCTCGGGAATAGATGGGTGCTGTCAGGAGCAATCATGTCTCATGTCAACAGAACCCTAAGTTATTTAAATGGCATGTTCTACAGATCCTTGAAGTGGTTGAAGATTATCTATCTAGACAGAATACAATCTCTATGTATCTAAAGAACCTAATTAATCTGACAATATGCATAACAAACATGAACAACTATTGACCTATACTATTTAATACCTGTATAACTTATGGACTAAGACTTCATGTCAGAATATTAAATAATCTGTAAACAAATATATAGCAAATAAGAACAATGACCTCATCAGATTCCTACCTTGATCAGAGGTAGGAATAATATATAATGCAATATAAAAATATATCCTAAAAGTTGTATAAATATACAAAATGTCCTGAACAAAGGTAGAAACATGCTTGTATACAAGCTGACAAAATAACTTTGCATAGATATACAAATATTGTAAACAGAAATAACAAATATAATTTGGACGTATACCAATATACAAAAAAACTATACCAGTGTAAATTATTCATAAATAATAGCTCACAAGTATTCACTCTATTACCCACTATTATTATCCCTTTTTTTTAAATCTCTGAACCTACATAGTTTCCACCCCAACACTCTACATGATACAAGTAATAATAACAGCCCCTAAATGGTGCTCCCAACCCTGAGGACAAACTATTTTGGGAGAGGGGACATCATCCTTTAGAATTGCTTCCCGCTGTCATGGGGGCAATGTTCTTTTTATGGGATCCTGCAAAAGTAAAGTGGTGGTTAAGTTTCAAGATTACTATCTAGTATAGTTGCAAATAATTTTTGAGCAGTCAAAAGTCTTTTTTCCAAAGTTCTTATTTGGAGTTCTGGCCAGAATGTCATGAGAAGGTACACCATGCCAGCAGCAGGTACTCAAAAACTGGTCTTATAACAGCACTATCAGCATCATGATGTCATCTAGACCATGTGGAGTTGTTGCTGTGGGGCCCCATCTTCTTCCTGGAAACTTCAAAGATTACTGCAGGAAAAGGATCTGTAGGAAATTCTATTATTCATTGTAGAAAACTTAAACATTATTCATATAGACATACATTCAATGAAGAATATTATATATACAAAATAGACATGGAGAAAGTAAAATTTTTCCTTAAGTTTTCCTTCTGTCCCGTACCAGATGGCTTCTGCCATGAGACAGAAACTCTGAATGTTCCTTTTAACAACACACCTGGATTTAGAGAAGTACAGAGCCATTCTCCAACTTCAAAGCCAGCTCTATATATTCATATATATTTAAATGTATATGTTTTGATCACCTGTCCTCATAAGTCATATTCCTTTTTCTTGATGATCTTTATTGGATAGTTATTTTTCCTTCTGTCAGCATCCACATATCCAGGGTCTCTTGAATTTTTGAAGATGTAAATTTTTCTGTAAAGACAAGAACAGAACACTGCCTCAACCCTATATGGTTTCCTTACCATCTATATGGTTGTCAGCATTGTGAATGAGCTATAATTCCTCTTTCTCAAGAGGTTTCTCTTTTTCAAAACAAATCTTTATTAATTTTGATGGTATCCATAGATTTTCTTCTCCTGTGCAAACAAGAACAATCCCCTTTCCCCAACGTAGCACATCTCCTGGTTTCCATTGTGAGGTCAACACATCCTTGAAATACACTGGTTGATATAATTCTGAAGTTTTTTCCCCCATCATCCAATGCCTTTCTGCTGCTGTTGTTCCTTTCTCATTAGCATTAAAAAAGTTCAAGATTAATAAAGCGGGGACTTCCTGTGCGAGCAAGCCCCGTTACCTCCGGAAGAGCAGAGTCCTCGACCCCGGCAGTTGCGCATCGCTGTGCGCTCACGCGAGAAGATGGCGGACCCCTGGCAGGAATGCATGGACTATGCGGTCACCCTCGCAAGACAAGCTGGAGAGATGATTCGTGAAGCTCTACAAAATGAGGTGAATGTCATGTTTAAAAGTTCTCCAGCTGACTTGGTAACAGTTACCGACCAGAACATTGAAAAAATGCTTCTCTCTTCAATAAAGGAAAAGTACCCATCTCACAGTTTCATTGGGGAAGAATCTGTGGCAGCTGGAGAAAAGACAGTCTTTACCGACAAGCCCACGTGGATCATTGACCCTATTGATGGCACGACCAACTTTGTGCATAGGTTTCCTTTTGTAGCTGTTTCAATTGGCTTCGTTGTAAATAAACAGGTATGTCTTAAAAAAAAAAAAAAAGATTAATAAAGCATTATGTGATCTATTTCTGGGGGTATTTTCCATCCCTTTCTGTTTGTTTAGTATATCCTTTATAGTTCATTTTATCCTTTATATATACATTTTGACATTTGTATAACTGCCTGACCTGTAGGATTATTTGGTATACCTGTAATATGCTTTATATAACAATAAGCAGAAAACCGCTTCATTTTCTTAGATATATATGCTGGACCATTGTCTGTTTTTATTTGTACAGGATGATGGTCATAACTTCTAATAAATACATGATTACTGAATCAGCCTTTTCTGAGCTCAAGGCAGTTGCCCATTGAAAACCTGAGTAAGTGTCTATGGTGTGGTGCACATATTTTAATTTTCCAAATTCTGTAAAGTGGAACACATCCATCTGCCAGATCTCATTCCTTTGAGTACCCTTTGGGTTACTCCCTGCAGACAACAATGTTTGGTTATAGAAAGAGCAAGTAGGATATCTCTTTATAACCTCCTTAGCTTGTTGCCATGTAATAAGAAATTCTTTCTTTAAACCTTTGCTATTGACATGATTTTTTTATGAAATTCTGAGGCCTGCAACACACTTCCAATCAATAACTGCTTAATTTCTACATTACCTTGTGCTAGAAGACCCAGCAGACCCAAATGGGATCAGATGTATGATAGGAAAAAGCCTATTCCTGATTATGTCTTGCATCTGAATGAATAATTAAAGTCAACTCTGTATCATCTGGTATAAAATCAATACACAACAACTCTTTCTGCATATTGTGAATCAGTAACTATATTAAGAGGTTCTTTAAAATCCCTTAGTACCATAAGAATAGCATATAATTCTGCCTTCTGGACAGAATTATAGGGGCTTTGTTCCATCTTACTTAATTCTTTTGATTTATAACCTGCCTTCCCTGATTTATTTATATCAGTATAAAATGTATGGGCTCCAGTTATTGGTGCATCATATACAATTCAGGGAAGAATCCAAGAAGTTCTCTTTATAAGGTTAAGCCTATCACTTTTGGGATGATTGCTATTAATTTCTCCCAGAAAATTAGCACAAGTCTCTTTACCATGGTTCATTGTCTTCCCATAACTTTTTTATTTCATCAGTAGTAAAAGGCACTATAATCTTTGTTGGGTCTATACCTACTAATTGATAAAGTCTCAATTTACCTTTTATAATTAATTCAGAAACATTTTCCACATAAGTTTTTAATTATTTACTAGGTTTATGTGGTAAAAAGATCCATTCTAAGACAATATCATCCCTCTGCATTAAAACTCCTGTAATTTCTCTTCAACAACTGTCAATTCCTTTTCTGCTTTAGCTGTTAATTCCCTGGTTTTAATCAAGTCTTTATCGCCACCTAAGGTTTTGTTTAAAAGAATTATTAGATCAGGTGTTATCCCAACAGCCAGTTGTAAACTGGAAATGTCTCCTAACGATCTTTGAAAGTCATCAAGAGTCCACAACCGGTCTCTCCTAATGTTTTCCTTTTGTGTTCCAATTTTCTGTAAACCTATTCTGTAACCTAGGAAATTAACAGAATCTCTTCTTTGAATCTTTTCAGAAGCAAATTGTAATCCCCATTTAGGCAAAACTTTCTTTACTTCTTCAAACATTTTTTCTAAAATATCTACATTTGAATCAGATAACAAAATGTCATCCATGTAATATAGGTTATAGACTTAGGAAATTGCTTATGAATTATTTACAATGGCTGACTGACAAAGTATTGGCACAGGGTGGAGCAATTGATCATTCCCTGTGGGAGGATGGTCCATTGTTGTCTCCTAGTAGGCTGAGAATTATAAGTAGGCACTGTGAAGGCAACTTTTTCTCTATCTTTTCTTGTAAAGTTATAGTGAAGAAATAATCCTATAAATCAATAACTATGAGAGGCCATCCTTTTGGTAATAAAGAGGGCAAAGGGATTCCAGATTGCAGAGGACCCATAGGTTGAATAACCTTGTTGATAGCTCTAAGATCTGTCACCATTCTCCATTTTCCAGATTTCTTTTTAACAGGAGAATTCCAAGGGCTGGTGTATTCTTCAATACAGTGAGCATCTAGTTGCTCTTGTACCAGCTGCTCTAAAGCCTGCAGCTTTTCTTCTGTTAGAGGCCACTGTTTAACTCAATTTGGTCCTTTTGCTTTTCCCTGTTGCTCTAAAATTCTCGCTTTTTCTCTCCAAAAATACCTCCAAAGCAACTGCAGTCCATTTTCTAGGACTGTTGAGATTAGCTTAATCCAGTCTTGTTGTTTGAAGCCCACATTTTGACCATTTCCCTAACAAAGGATGAGTGTATTTCCTAAGCTACCACATCTAGAGGCTACTCAGGGCCGCTATGTGGGAATTCTATACCTAAATGAATGGTGTGGAGGCTGACAATGGCTGAATAGAGCTGCTGAATTCCCAAGCCCAGGAATCAAGCATCAACTGTAGAAGCTAACTCAATTCAGGAAATAACCAGCTTAGCTAAAAGATAAACAATTATAATTTTGTTTATTAAAGGGAAAACTCAGGAAATCGGAATGAGAAATCCAAGCTCAGCTGTGCGGCGAGGGAACCACAGAGAGAGAGAGAGAGAACCTGGGCCATGCTCCCATTTTTCTCCAGGTCCTGGAAAGACACACCCTAACTTGGTCCCACCTCTTAAAGATAGTTGGTTAACAAGGCTTCCCCATCATATACCAATAAAAAACATACTGAAAAAGAAATCAAGGAATTGTTATTTCAGTTACAACAGTCTCAAAATTAATTAGTTAATCAGTTAATTAGCTAATTAATTAATTGATTGATTCCTTGGAGTAAAAGATCTCAACAATAAAAACTTTAAAATGCTGAAGAAAGAATTAAAGAAGACACTAGACTTCCCATGTTCAAGGATCAGAAGAACCAACATTCTGAAAATGGATATACTAACAAAAGTAATTTACAAATTTATAATGCCATTTCATTTGTATTTTAATAAATAGAGCTTGCCTGAAGATCAGAGAGTAAAACAGCCCCACTGGTCGGTCAGTCTTACGGACCAGGTGGTGATAACACACACCTTTAATCCCAGTAGTCACACTAGTTTGCCATAGAAACTGGGTGGTACATGCTCTTAATCCCAGTGGTGCACGCCTTTAATCCCAGCCCTAGAGAGGATTATAAAACAGAAGGAGGCAGCTCTTAGACACAGTCTCATTCTGAGATTCCTGGAGGTAGGATTGCCATTTTGGGGCTGAGGTCATGGTAAGAGACAGTCACTGATTGTTTTTGCTTTTCTGATCTTCAGGTTGAACCCCAATATCTGTTTCTGAGCTTTTATTAATTGTGCTTCACAAATTCAATGTAATTCCAATAAAAATTATAGTGACATTCTTCACAGAAATAACAAGACAAATCTTAAACTTCATATGTATGCACAAAAGACCTAGGATAGTCAAATAAATCCTCAACAACAAGAACACCATTGGAGGTATCACCATACCTGATTTCAAATTATACTGTAGAGCCATAGTAACAAAAAAAAAATAGCACAATACTGACACACAAACAGACTTATAGATCAAAGAATAGAATAAAGGACCCAGAGACATGGCCACACAACTTATGGCAATCTGATTTTTGACAAAGAATCAAAAAATAAAAATTGGAGAAAACTCAGCATCTTCAACAAATTTGCCAGGAAAACTAAACATTTATAAGGAGAAAAATTAAACTAGATTCTTGTTCCTCACCTCGCATGAAAATCAGCTCCAAATGGATCACAAATATCAATGTAAGTCCTGCAGCAGCAAAACTGCCTGAGGGAAAAGTAGGGAACACACTTGGAGATGCGGGCGTAGGCAAGGACTAAGTAGGACTCTGAACACTCTTGAAATAAAACTCATAATCAAGAAATGAGATCTCCTGGAACTAATAAGTAAGCTTCCGCACAGCAAAGGAAACTGCCAGTTGAGTGAAGAGACAGTCTGCAGAATGGGAACATTCCAACAGATTACTGTCTAGAATATACAAAAAAGAAGAGTAAGTAACAAGAACACAAATTATCCAATCAAAAAACTGAACAGAGTTCTCTAAAGAAGAAATAGAAATAGAAATAGAAAAGGTTGTTACACATTTTCTAATTTATTTATTACATATATGGTGTTCTGCCTGTACATACACCAGCACACCAGAAGAGGGCACCAGATCTCATTACAGATAGTTGTGAGCCATCATGTGATTGCTGGGAATTGAGCTCAGGACCTCTGGAAGAGCAGTCAGTGCTCTTAACCCCTGAGCCTTCTCTCTAGTCCCTTATTAAACATTTTAAAAGTTTCAATACAATCAGTCACCAAGGAAATGCAAATTAAAACTACTTTAAGATTCTCTCTCACCCCTGTCAGAATGGCTATCATCAACAAAACGAATGACAGCAAATGCTGGCAAAGATGTGAAGAAAGGTGAACTCTCTATGGGTATAACCAGTTATTTTCTGATTCGATATATAAGGCCTGCTTTACAGAGGGAATTCATTCCTGCCACTGTAAACATAGTCAAAAGACCATGGTGGGGTAACATCACAGACCTTGAGGATGTAAGCTGTGGGTACTTTAGTTTTGCTAAGTATTCAAGTTGCCAAACTACCCTCTAAATATTTATGTCCCCTTTCAGGCAAAAATGGGAGGAAAGGCACAGAGGTCTTGCCATATACTGTTTCTCAATTACTTAGTTCAAAATAATCCATATGCCAAAGGACCACATGCTGTGTAATAGAATATTTGTTTAACTATGTAAATATGTGTTGATTTGTTTGTGTTGCAGAATAGTAATTTAGCTATGTAAAGATGTGTTGCTGTTTTATCTTGCCTGCCTAAGGCACCTGATTGGTCTAATAAAAAGCTGAATGGCAGAGGAAAGATAGGCAGGGTTGTCAGGTGTAAAGAAAAGGAGAGCCAGCTAGCCAGAAAGGGGCCAGACAGACAGACACGGAGGGACCAGGAAAGCATGCTGGACAGTATGTAAATGAGATAAAGGTGCCTCAGGACAGCACATAGATTAACAGAAATAGGTTAACGTAAGGGGGAAAAAGCTAGCTAGAAACAAGCCTAAGATAAGGCCAAGCATTCATAATTAATAATAAGTCTCTGTGTCATGAATTGTGGGCTGGTGGTCCAAGAAAGCCTGCTACAATCACATCCTGATCCCCTTCAGAAGAAAGATGGAGAGAAAAGGATTTTCATATTATTACCTATTAACACCTTTAAGCACCCGTTGTTCTCTAATGAGTCTAAGAATAAGGACATGATGCTATATACATGATGTCACTAATTGTCAGCAAGGCCTCCGCTTTACATACCTACAAGCAAATACCTTTAAGTGATCAAAATGCTCCCATCTTGAACCACAAACAATTTTGTCAGGCAATTTCTTCCCTTTTTTGGTAGTATTCATATCAAAAACTGCAGGAACTGCTGATGATTCCTGGGAAAAATTGGAATTTCTATTTAGGGATAATTCCACTTCAATATTGAACCATGTCTTTTTAGCACGGCTTTCACTGCATCTGGAGCTTGGAGCGGTGTGCTTGGTCCCTCCTTCTAAGTTTGCTGGCTTTTATTATTTATTCTTCACCTGAAATCATCTCAGTTTCTCATATTAAAATCTGTTGCTATGGAAACAATTATTTTATATCAAGAGACCAAAGGATAGTGAATTCGTGGATAGCATAAGTAGCAAGAACTGACAAAAAACCTCAGTAACCAAAGATACTATTTTAATACTCAAGGTGCTAGTAAAATGTGTTGGAGAAAGCGGAGATGGGAGTGAGAGGAAAGAAAATGTCACTTCAATGTGTCTGTGCTTTCTTGAGGAAACACTTATTAATCTTAGTTGGAGAAGTGCAAGTTGTTATGAGCTCATGATCTCCCAGACCGCCTCAGAAACTGCTAGAGTTAAGAAGAGTGGCACAGAACTTGATAGAACGTGCCTGTATTGTCTGAGCCTCTCGGCCTGTGTAGGCAACTGTTGCTCTTCTGTGAGCCTCCTCTGTGCACGGACAAACGCCAAGACAGCACACGAACCAGTAAGACTTCAAACGGCATCAGGTGGGCCTTTCCCATTGACTGTGAATTTCAGCCCACATAGAACAGAAAGCCAATGATGTTTGTGATAGCCCGCATCATATAGCCCAAAGCCACTAAGAAACAGCCGCTAGCAAGTGGTCCCACCGTACTTCCACTCCCCGCAAACCATGCCAACTTCTCAAGCTTTGCCTGCACACCGGAATGAGGTGTTGAGTTTTCCAACATATTTTTACCAGCATTCAGACTGGAGCCCAACCAAACAATCAGGATTCCCGTGGTTTTCTATGACATAGGTATTCTTATAAAAGATCTTTGGGTGATTACAATACACAGCCAGCATGTAGAGCCACTGGCCCACAAGAACAAAAGGCCAACAATTTCTGAAGCAGGACAAAGTTGCTCTGCTCTCCCCTCCTGTACTCAGGTCAAGGACCTCTGCATTGAAGATGGTCTTGCCTATGCTCCCAAGGTTTCTACTCACACACACTAAGGGGAAGTTACCCTTGGCTGCCTGCCACACAGCAATCATGGGCAGGCAGGGTAGGAAATACAGCAGTCATCGTGGAATAAAAAAGTCAAAAAGCCGTGGCTCTTTTCCACAGTCCCTCTCTGTTACCTGTGAGGAAGAGCTAAAACTCAGAAAAGGACAGAAAAGGAATGGAAAGAATGTGACTGCTCACCATCCCTCCACCTGAGGCTCAGCTGGCTATGGGTGCAGGGAGATCAGTGGTCAATGGGTTGTGAGATTGAAGTTTCAAAATGAAGTGAATAGGCCTGGAGTTTTCAGGATCTAAAAATGACTGCAGACTTACAGGACCTGCCCGAGACGGTGTTAAAGGAGACAAAAATAAAAAGCAATTCAAAACAGCACATTTAAAGGAAGGAATGGGAGAAAAACCACTTCAGGTGGAAATCCCACTGAGTCGAGATGCCCAACAAATCACTTGCAGTTGGTGATTACGTATCCTGCAAGGATGAATCCTATCACAACTGGAAGACACAAAACAAGAATTGATTCTATAACCACCCATGGTCCCTCTTTACAGTGATTCTGGCATAGGTAAAATGCCAGAGGATGCAAAAGATAAAAAAAAATAACAGTTCAGGGACAAAATAAACGTTTATAAAGATCTAATATTCAAAACGGGTGGTGACTGACATGTTAATTTGATTATAGTAAGCATATATTTAATATGTAATATATGTACATGTATATAATTATCACATTGTATTCCTCATTGTCAATCTTTGACAAGTAAATGTTTTGAAATAAAGTGGGAGAATTCAAAGAGGAGTATGCTCTTTTTCATTTTCTAGATCTAACCAAAAGGATGAGTTCCCCGTTTGTAGCCAATAGAATGGCATCCAGAGAGCTCTAGTATATCCACGGACTGCCTGTACTATCTACTATCTTTTTAAAATAACCTGGTGAAAGGGTATCTGACAGCCATCTTGTCCTTACCTCCTAAAACTGCCAGAATGACCAGAGACAAGCTCTTCAGAGGGAGTCTAGACCTTCAACCTTTACACACAGAGAGAAAAGCACCTGAGCCCATATTTCAACCAACATGTGCTGGGAAACCATAACTGAGCCAAATAATTATCATCAACCCCATCTGAAAATCCCCCATGCTTTCTCTCCATCACCGTTCCAAAGGTGGCTCTAAACACCGGAGATCAGCCGTGTGTCGTTCCTTGTGTTTCTTTCCCTAAATGGGACCGTGCATTGTGGACTTCTGTATCTGGCTTCCCCTGTTCCGCAGCGCATCTGGCAGTGAAGCGTGTTGTTACTTGCGGCTTTAGTTTGCTCCATACCTGCTGTGTAATATTCTGCTGTGTGCAAAAACCACAGCTCATCCAGCAGAAGGCTGAGCTAGCTCCGCACGTACTGTTATGAGTGTGCTTACACACGTTTGGGGCACACAGGCACAAATTTCTGTTAGCTATATGCTAACTAATTGTAGCCGGCTACTGAGAAAGATGAATTGATGGTGTCCCTGCCGGGGGACTGTTTATTTGTTTAGCTTCCAGCTATTGCCTAATGCACTACAGCGTCTTCCATACTTACGGATTGGCTGTGGAGTAGAACGAGGAAACATTACTGCCCACAGAGAGCTTGATCATAACTCTGCTCAGCTGGAGAGAGAATGGCGCATCCCACTCAGTGGACTCCTTCAGCGACAAGGGGATTTTGTGAAAGATAGCAGTACCACTTATGAAGAGAAATGAGCTGTGTGATGCGACTGGATGTGAAGGATCGGAGTTCTCTGAAGGAAACTTTACGGGAAAGGTTGTGGCCCACCAGCTTTCTCTCCAAGTAAACACAGAGCCTGGGAGCTGGTGTGAGATACCAGCAGCTATATGAACGCAAAGCCCTGTTTTGTGTTGTTTGGGTCATGTGGCTAATCCGCCTAACTTTCTACTTCACCACAGAACCCATGAAGAACAGATAAGCTACTGTTAGCAGTTGCCTCTCTTTCAGAGCTGCCTGCTAAGGAGGAGAGCAGCTGCCCCTCCCTCTCTGCCTACCAGGAAGCTATCTGAAGACACCTCAGAGCGACAGGTCATGACTCTAAAAACCTGCAGGAAGATAACAATATTCTCTTTCCCATAAACACTCTTGATGGGACATTTGCTGTAGCCTCAGTTTTTGACAAAGAGGAACCCCGCTGAACTCTGTTTCGCACAGGGTCTTTGGTAGGGCTCTTTCTGAAGGACTATGGGAGGACTTGAAATTCAGCTCCACCTATCATGAGGTGCCTGGCTGTGGACGTCATCAAATCACTGTTCAGAAAATAAGTGATGGCATCAGCTATTCTGAAGAGAATGTGTGAACCTGTACACACACACGCACACACACCACCTCAACCACCACCACGAACACAGCCTACTGCACAGACTGAGCAACCTGTTGTTCCGATTCTTGAACCAAGCACAAAAGCTGCCCAACTCTACATTGTTGGGTTTTTTTTAAAGATTCATTTTAAAATACTTTTTGAGCACTTACTGTTACCAAACAACTATGAGATTATCACCAGCAACAAGCAGCGCTTTCCCGAAACTCTCTGCTGTGATTCACCATGTCACAGAGGCTCACCAGCCCTCTTCCCAGAGTCTCCTGGAGAATATTTATCAGACAAGAAGTGGTTCTGTGGTCAAGCAAACTGTGGAGGCTCAACCTGTCATCTCTCTTCTTATAAACCCACAATATATAATTATACATTAAAGGCTTTGAGAAGTTCTTGCATCTTCTCAAGGATGTGTCAGCCCCATCTCATATAGGGTCGTACTAGGTAGCCAAAGCAGACCTTGAATTCACAATTTTCCTACCTCAACCTCCTGAGTTCTGTTTCATTTTCTTAACAACAACAACAAAAAAATGTGTGTGTGTGTGTGTGTATACATATATACCTGTGGAGGTCAGAGGTTGGTTCCCCCCTTCTATCATGTGGGTTCCTGTGGACAGAAGTCACACCGGCCTTGGTGACAAGCACTTTTACCCACTGAGTCATCTTACTGCTCTCTATGCATTTTCTTTAAACTAATATTTGCTAACACTGATTGGTCTTGGGAATCTTTTTTCATAAAATACTATTCCTGGGCCACATTTAGGAAATGACACTTGAAGAGACACATTAGCTCATCCAGTGTCTTGCCCAGAGCCTATGCTATAACCAAGTACATGAGAATGAACCTGATTGGATGGTTGGTTTTGAGGTTTCAACTATGCAGCCTTTGAATCATTTTTAAGGAAGCAAGCCACTTTGTTTCCATAAAGATCAATTTACAGATCTGTAAAAGGAACAAAATAATATAGCTACTCTAAAGATAAGTACATTAAAGAGAATCTATGTCTTTAAATTTGTGATATTGGCGATCATTATCACCATATCACCATGAGTTGCAGTTTCTCTTCATAAAAACTAATTCCCTAGATCAAAGAGTCATCATATGATATCTGCTCCTTTCTACTACTCAAAATTCAGGCCATCATCCTTAAGTCTATGACAATGAGGTAGACCCAAGCACAGACAAGCGGAACTATCTTCTTAGGAAGAATCACATTCCTTCCAATAAAGCCATGGTCACTTGCTAAATAGGGACCCGTGTTGGGCAATATTATTTTAAGGTGGGTGACTTTTATTTATGCTGCATTTATTTGACTCTGTGAAGCTGTGATTCTTTGCCTATCTAAAACACCTGATGGTCCGAATAAAGAGCTGACTGGCCAATAGCGAAGGAGGAGCAAGATAGGCAGGGCTGGCAGACAGAGAGGATAAATAGAAGGAGAACAAGAAAGAAGAGGAGCAACAAGAGACCAAGGAGAGGAGGACACCAGGGGCCAATCCCCCAGCCCCCAGCCACCCAGCCACCCAGCCCCCCAGCCCCCCAGCCCCCCAGCCCCCCAGCCCCCTAGCCCCCCAGCCCCCCAGCCACCCAGCCACCCAGCCAGGCATGGAGTAAGAGTGAAAGTAAAATTTACAAAAAGTAAGAGAAAGGTAAAGTCCCAAAGGTAAAAGATAATTTAAGAAAAACTGGCAAGAAATAAGCCAAGCTAAGGCCAGGCATTCATAACTAAGAATAAGCCTCTGTGTGTGATTTATTTGAGAGCTGGATGGTGGGCCCCTCAAAAAGAGTGAAAGAGTAAAAAAAAACAACAAACAACAACAAAAACAACACACCAGTCAATAAAATCTTACATAATTCCAGAAATGTGGGTGATGGCTTCCAAATTGGACAGTATGGCTCTAGACACTTTTATTGTCCTTAGGCCTTTCCTCTTTTCTCCTGACCTCCCCGGGACAAGCAAATTCCTGGTTCACCAATGTTATGACATGCCAGTTTGCAACTACTGATTCATGGTTAGGGTTGATGTTGAGCTTTGACAAAGGAGTCCTTCCTCACTTGCCCTAAAGAATGATGGAGCCAGTTTTTCTGATGACAAAACTCTTGCACAAGCATTATCCTGTGATCTCATCATTACTAACATCCGTGGATTATAGCCCTGAAGGCAGCTACTAAAATGTGAGTGTGTCACAGATGAGGACATTGAAGTAAGGCATTATCCATGAAGAATGCCTTTGTTCTACTAAATGTATCAACTTGTGGCAGAGAATGGGGTCCTAATGGGCTGAGACAGGAGATGGATGTGTTTTGATGGAAATAAATTATCAAGGGAATGAACAACTTACCTCATTAAAGGGCAATGCAGCAGAATGACTATTTGCAGATCAAAACTGAAAGGGAAAAATAAGAGGTTCAGGGGATCATTAGTAACCATTTTAAAGCTGTATCCATTAGAGTGTGTGCGTGTGTGCACGAGCCTGTGTGTGTGTGTTCCTGTATGTGTGTATGTGTGTTCCTGTATGTGTGTGTTTGTGTGCATGCCTGTGTGTGTATGTGTGTGTGTACATCTGTATATAATTTTGTTCTCGCCACTAAATAAATCTTTTAATTTCCACACATGAATACAATTCATTTTTATCACATACTCTGTCCAATCCTTCTCCCCAATCTTATGTCCTCTTCTTTTTTTCTTTTTTTATAATAATCAACTTAGCCTAATAAATGCTTGAGTGGGGGGCCATCCACTGTAGCATAAGTGATGAACCAGGACTAGAAGCCCAGAGAAAAAGACTCTCCCTCCCACAGCCATCAATTCCCAAGAGCTCTCCTGCTAGCATAGAGCCTCAACTCCCCCTCCCATCAGCTAGCAGTTCCCAATAGCGCCTCTGCTAAGGGTAGAGCCTCAAGAGTCCCTCCAGCCTCCATACTGGGATTTTATCGACTTGAGCTTCTGCAAGTCTTGTGCAAGTAACCAGAGATACTATGAGTTCTTGACCTTACTCGCCATTCACATGCAGAAGACCACAACATTCCTCCCTACCATATGGTTCTTAAGTTTTCTCTTTCTCCTCTTCCAGGATCTTCCCTGGGCCTTAGAGAAAAGGAATGATGCAGATATCTCACTTAAAGCTAAGTACTCAAGTCACACACACACACAGGTTTGACCTGCACAGGTTCAAACCAGACAAAGTCCAGCACTGAAAAGAAGTAGACACAAAGCCCTACCCCTAACCAAGAAGCTGTTTCTTAACTGAGGCCTGCTGGAAATGGGAGAATCAGTTTTCTCCAATGAAGTGACACTGGTATATCAACCACGCTCTAGGGTGAGACCCTTCAGCCAAAGAAAATAATTTTGAAATTCTTAAAATTATAACCAATTCTGGAATTTCATATTTTAAGAAATATTGTTTCTTAAAACAGGAAGTTGTTCCTTTTTATGTATAAGGAATGAATAGGATTATGGGTAAAAGTATCATTTAACTTAAATTTTTCTTTATTTACCTGGCAAGATCCTTCAGCCAGTTAAGATGCCACCAAGCCTAACAAACTGAGTTCCATTCCAGGAACCCACATGGAGAAATAAAAAAAACCCAACTGCCTATAGCTGTCTTCTTACCTCTGACTTACCCACACAGTCTGTGGCACACCCAGAGAGAGAGAGATGCAAATTTTAGAAAATATTTTCTATATCAAGATGTATGATGGCTTTAACACAGCAATGTCAAGTATCTAAAGTCATCAGCTTACTTATACACCTTTTTGCATAAAACTTAAGAAAAGGATGTAAGGAGGGAACACACAGATAGGAGTAGAGAGGAATGGTGTGAGGGGAGAGACAGGAAGATATTCATGTATTCAGCAGAACCATATATTTGGAATTCGGAACTTTTAAACAAGCTTTACCTCAACATAAACATAAAGGGAACAGAATATGCAAATGATCAGAGGAAATGAAGCTTCAGCTCACATTATAGCAAAACCTCACATTCAGCTTTTTTGAAGAACATAAGTCATTTAAAAACTTCCCTTCCTTTACCAAGAGCTAAGTTCAAGAAACTCACAGCATGGAAGCAGAAGTCGGAGGAAATTGCCAGAAAACAGCTACACCACAGCATGCCAGCAAAGTGACAGGAGAGTCCCCTGACAGACAAAATCGGGCACTGTAAGAACAGGTCAACCTTTGCAACCAGCTACAAGATCTCCTTAGATGCTCAGACAAGAGGCAAATATGGTGTATCCTTCTCAAACCTCTTCCCTGTGTGCTGTGCTGGGTCAGACATGTCAGAAGAATGTGCACTATGTTGTTGTCAACTTGAGTAACACCTACATCTCCGCCCTTCCAGTCAGCTAGCAGGGTGTTCAGCCCTGTTCCCTTTTGGTGC